TTCCGTAAATGCGGCCTAAGGCCTTTTGACCCAGACATACATCAATATTTTCAGAAGCAGATTTTGCCCTTGTCGATGTACATCATAAAAATAGTACCTCCTGGCCTACTGAGGAGTGTATGGTAACGTTAAGAGAGAATTCCATCACAACCAACAACCCTGAACCTGCTAATGTTCTCACTCTCCCACAGGTGGTTAATGCCCCAAGCGACAATCCCAATCTCCACAATGTGACTAACACTCCAAATGATATGAATCATACTCCAGCAGAAGTGAACACCAGTCCAAATGAGAATTACACTTCAGAGGAACCAGAGCCATCAACTTCTGGTGAGTCTTGTAAAATTCCGAGAAATACTAAGTCAGATGTTTTCAATTTATCATTTTGCAACATTTCTCTAAAAGACATCTTTCCACTGCCGAAATTTGTTCATGCAAAAAACGCAAAAAACTCAAATATAAGAGAAAATGTCAAAAATCAGAAATAATGGCAAGTTCTCCTTACAAAGCAATGCTTGAAAAGAAAATGTATTCGAAAAAGGCAAGTTGCAAAAAAAATTTTAGCTGTGCGCCGTCTTCGGGTACAAAACAAAAATATTTGATTCGATAGCCAAAGTAGGCCAAAAAGACAATGCTAATTCAAGGAAATTTACTCACGAAATTAAACGATTATGAAGAAACCTTTTGCGTTGTATGTAGGGGAAAATATGAAGAACCACCATTAGAAAATTGGATTCAGTGTGGTATTTGTTACAATTGGGAACATGAACTTTGTTCAGATACTGAGAGATTTAATGGTAATGGTGTTCATATATGTGACAGTTGTGCCTAATTGTTTTCATTTTGTTACATTTTGTTACAACATGTTATGTGATATACGTTTCATAATTAAAATTAGTTTTAAACTTAATTTTCCACTTTGCCTTACATAATTTTACTTTGTCATAATTGAAATGTTATTCACATCAACTAAATTTTTTTTGGAAGAAGAGTCCTTACCTTATATTCTGGGTTCTTAATTTCTTTGATTTATAGGGTAATCAAATGAAAGGTGTTCAGGTGCACAATCATAAGTGAAAAGATATTCCGTGTGGCAATACCACGTTTTTAAATGTCATGTTTGCTAACCCTTTCTCGTGAGTAAATTCGCACATATGCCCTTTACGATTATCAATTTGGTATAAAATCAATTGAACTTCATCGTCGTATGGTGCAAGCGTTTGGCAAGAATGTCGTCTCTAAGTCTGCAATCTATGATTGGTTTAGTATATGTAAAGTTGGGCAAGTGGATAAAACCACTGAACAGTGGTTTGGTTATTCGTTTAAGGCAACGCAACACATTTCCGATCTGCCGAGGGACATAATACTTCCCAGGAAGTCTTTTATTGAAAAATGGCCCCTATTTAGGTGTTATTAACGCGAAGAAATCCCAGAAAACTCCACGTGACCAGTCCGTTGGCCAGGTGCGACCAAACCATGCTAGAAATGAGCAAAAGACAAAGTTCTGACTAGTCCACCATAGTTCATTACTTAATTGCCGTTGGAAAGGTCTGTAAGATCTTTCTTCGTGACAATACCACAAGTATCAAGTTTGATCCAGAAGAATCTGCTTGATTTCGGCTGGAAGATTCTCCCTCATCCCAAGATCGTCTCAGGAGAGGCAAACAGTGTACTTACCTTCTTCCAAGATCGAGAAAAAAATTCCAAAAATTATCATCATAAAAGTGATTTAGGGGCCAGTTTTCCATAGAAAACGTGAAGAAATCCATATTACTAATGTGAAGAAAACCCGAAAAACTCCACGTGGCCAGCTCGTTGACAAGGCTCGAATCACGAGCAGTGTTCAGTGGTTTATCCACTCGGCCCCTGGTGAGCACCCGTACAGCCTAAACATTGCCCCATTCGACTATCATCTCTTCCTATCCATGTAACACCTAGAGGGAAATCAGTTCACTGATGATGAAGCGATGAAAATCGTACTTGCAGAGTTCTTCGAGTCAAAACAGCCCGAGTTTTATTAAACAGGAATCCATGACCATTCAACATTACATTCAAATACCTTCTTCCATTGATCGGGCCGATTAATGGAAGAAGGTATTTGAATGTAATGTTCCTTGAATAAACTTAGAATGTTCTTAGAATAAATTTATAAAAACTTCCAGAAATTCTTATATCAACTCAATATTATTTAAAAAATAAAATATAAGTGATCACAGGGATATTCATGATAATTACTAAAGCTGAAGGCAACTATGTACGGAATTCTCGAGGTCGAGAATTAATGTGTTTCTATCACAAATAATTAAAAATTACATAGAACAATGTATACAACAAGCTATGGAATACATATGGGAGCAAGCAGTTTCCTACGCACAGTACAATGCAAACAAAGTTATCTAACAGAGAATTGTCTGTTTTTGAATACGCCAACAAAAATTAAGCTTGTCTTAATTCAATTAAAATTGAGCTATAATTCCGTAAATGGTGTTAATTATGTTTCGGATATTAACCCTTAGATATACTAGGCGTAATTCTGAATATTAATGTACATGGTGACTATTTTTATTACGAGATTTAGTATTTATAATAATAAAACACTAGTAACATATTTATAAATTTATTTACAATATGAAATATTATGAAAAATATCTGAAATAACTGAACTTTACTCGATTTGCATAGCTATAGGCGAGGACGTAGCCCATAAGGAAAGGTCGACTTTGCCAAGTTTCCTGTAAACGACAAGGAAGACTTCGATATTTTTATTTGTATAAGTCTTTATTATTTGTATTTTTACAATATATATTTTAATTAGTAACCTGTTTTAAATACATGTTAGCTCTTTCCAATTAGTTGTAAATGGCTGCACAAGCGTCTAGGCAACCGTCTATGACTATTTGGGGTGGAGCATAAATTTACGCGAAATTTCATTTTTCAAAAATGTCTCATGATCAACTTTAAATTAGATCTTTAAAAAATTTTTATTCTTATTTCTTTATTTACTCTTTATTCTTTATTTGAATAATTTAAAAATTATATATTAAATTATTGAAAATTTTATTTGTTTATTCTTATGTTAATCTGATTATGTTTTGTTATTAACAGTAATATTATAAATTGGTTCACTTATTATAATACAAAGCACGTCATTTACAAAAAGTAAAATAATAAAAATCTAAAATATTATTTTAATATTGAGAAAAAAAAAGTTTAACAAGAACTTTAGCTTATTAAAATTTTTTATTGTTTTAATTTAATATAAAAAAATATGATTTTAAATTAAATATTTATTATCTGTAAAAATGATTTCAAATTTTATTCTCATATTAACACTAGGAAAACTTCTAATTTTTTTTAAATCTTAAATAATTTACAAAACCCCTTCTAAATTTATCTCATAATCTTAATTATAATTTATCTAGATATTATATTTATTAAATTCCAAAGCTGAAATTTGATTAAGTATATTAATTTTGAATTCTCCAAGCGGGGAGTCGTGATCTCTTAATTGATAAACCATAATTTCTCCGTTCTAGTAATTAACTTTCCATTCTTTTCAACAAAGATATGGCGATTTCTCAGTGGAGAAAATTCTAATGTTTTTACTTGACATCGTTCATCAGGGATTTTTTAATATACTGAAGTAAAAAAAAGTTGGAAAATCTTCAATTTTCATAATTAATTTTATATGGAACATAACATTTATTTGTAACATGGGTTATAAAAATTTATTACCCACATTTTTTTTTATCATCATCACAAATAATTGTTAATGTAACTTTCTCATAAAAAAAACAATTACTATTTATAAAAATAAATTAATGATTTGATTAATATATCCTATAATTATAGGAATAGAGGACTATAATTATAGGATATAAAATATGATTAATATATACTTTTACAATTAATTTTTTTATATATATATTTCAATAATTTTAATAAATTGTTTAGAAATATTAAAAATATGATTATAAATTAAATACAGTAAAATTATTTTAATATTAAGAGCAAAAAATTGAGAAAATTTATTTTAAATTAATTTAAAAAATATGAGTAGAAGCTTTTCTATAAGTTTTGGAAGAAAAGAAAAAAAATATTAATGGATTAACATATATATTATTAAGTTAATTTATAAAATTTTTGAATGATTCTTAATAATATATTATAGACAGTTAAATAATAAATGCAAACATTCACTGCTCAGTTCATCCATTAGAAAAAAAAAACTTAAATAAGAAAAATAAAATTTGTAGAATTTGAAGAATTTTCCTAACTAAAAATAATTAAAAAGATAATTCAAAATTCCAATATCGAACCGGAAGAAATGATATTCCAACCACGAAAGGATTACCAATCATATATATCTTTCAGGTCGTTCAACTGTTGGTAAAGAAGTTTACGTGATAGGAATTATTTGCTTATCTCTGCAAAAATATACCAATTTAGAATGATAAATTGCTTTATATTCAATTCCAATAAATCAAAGAATGAAAAAATAAAATTATTTTTTTTTACCATTGTTTAATATTATGATGATTTATATTATTTTGCTTTCTCTCTTGAATACTTGTATGCACTAATATTTCATATAAGATGTGCATCCTGGAAAAAATTTAAATTTTGTTTATATGCATATATACTTCAAAATGTCATCTATAGAAACAATAAACAAGATTTACATATAAATTTTTTTAAAAAATCTTTATTTAATATGCTTTTAATAGTAAGAATTGGTTATTAAGTATAGAAATTGCTAAGTAATGTAATATATAGTTAATAGATAAAATATTTAAAAATGTAGAAAATTTTCATCGAAAAATAACCCGATCTATCAGTTAAAAAACTAAAATTTATAATAAATATTTCACTTAATAATAATTTTTTTTTATTTAATAATAGTGTCAATCTATCAATACATTGTATTAAATCTGCTACGAAGAACGTTGTGGACTGTGCTTTACAGACATATATATATATATATTTTTTTAACGCAGATGGAAAGACAAATCAAGAATGTTCAAAGAACAGTAAATCCGAGGAGGAGATGGGCAAAAAAAAGCACAGAAGGAACAGAACAACCTTCACTACCTACCAATTACATGAACTGGAAAG